GTGAGACTAAAGGATAAAAATAACAATTGCTGTGTGTGCGTGTCTATCTGTGTGTGTGTGTCGATAAACCGCATTTGATCCTACAAACTAATTACGAAAGTCGATTAAAAGAATAAAATCAGATATTCCTTCTGTAATAGCGATCGATGAAATGCAATAGAATCAAATTGAAGTACATAGATAATCGTTTGTGATCGATAAGAACCCGAGGACTAGTCAATGATCGATTAATTATATAGGAAAAGTTAATGTCATTGAGAAACTCAAAGTTTGATTACTATCGTGATAAATTCATTCCGAGAAACTCGTAGACTGATAGACAAACTTATATAGATAATATGGAAAATATTTGTTAAATTACAGATTCTAATTTATTCCATTCTGAAAACGTTAGGATTTGCGGGAAAGTAATGTTATCAAGCGTTAAACAAACACTTCTACTATCTCTAATACTACTATTCGAGAGTAAGCTTAAACTTGAAATTTTCGTTATAGCGAAGCACAGGGTACCCCGATCGTAAAATATTCATGACGATCGTTCGGTTTTAGTTTCGATTAGAAATTACCTTTCGCGTGCGTCATATTATCAAAATAACGTAATGTCATCAATTTTATAAGAAATTGCATTTCCCGAAGTAGGAACTACTTTCTCTCCTTCTTTTCGATCTGATTTTTATATTCGGTTAGGGAAACTTTCAAGAAAAAAGAGATCGTAGATCATTTACGTGCTGCTCGTTTATCTGACCGTGTAAGTACGTGAGTTTCGTAAATAAATACGAGCACGATATCTCTTCTGGGATACGGGAACAAGAAAATGGAATTCTTTTTTTTTTTTTTTTCTTTTTTTTTTATTAAGGTTTCTTTGAGGGATTTAAGAATAATGTTAGACACACGTCAACGATTGATCTTTCGTTTTTATCGTTCGTCGAAAAGGAATACAAAAAAGGGAACAAAAACCAAAAAATAAGAAGAAGAAGAAAGAGCTACGTCACATTTAGAGAAATTGGAGAGCGTCTTGGGACGTGTCTTGGCGAGATACGAACAGGGAAAACGAATTTTTCGAACGTTCGATCGATCGATTGTATATACATACACACACATACATGGGTGCGTTAGGTCGATCTGAAGAAAGTAAATAAATCAGAAAATAAATAAATGAACGAGCGGACAGTCCACCCTCTTTCTTTGAACGAAACCGAAAAAAGAATTGGTCTCGGTCGTAGCGATTTCCGTTTTTTATTTCGCAAAACACACCTGCGTTGTATGCATATTTATAGGCATACTTATTTATAAGTATTTTTTCTATAAATCTATACGTGTGTTTGTGTAAATGTTATACAATGAACATACCCCATACGTGCTTTTATACGAGTGTATAAGTGAATTGCCATTGAAAAATCAGAAAAATTTCAAAGAACTCGAATACATTTGGAGATCATACAAATTGGTAGAATAATTAATTCGTTGTACATAGATTAAAGCTAAAATCTCGGACATTCGACGTAGCTCGTAGCGTTCATTAAAAAGATCAAAGAAAGATAGAGAAAGAAAAAAGAATGGATGAGAAAGCTTTGAAAATTTTTCAAACAGGTTTCAAAGAGAACTAAGGGAAAAACTACGAAATCGTTCTACTTTGTTTTTGTTCGTGGGGCGAGAGGGATGTGGGGTGGGGGGTGGCGGGATTTAGATACGTGATAACGTAACGCGCATCACGAACGTCATGCGAAGTTCTCTCGAAATATCGGGGAAATTTTCAATGCAGGAAGAAACGATATGAGATGGTGAGGGGGATGGGTGTATGCGAAGGTTGTGTGGATGGTTAAGAAGAAATACAGGCGATAAAATGTTACGCGTATCTTTTATCTTTTATCGTATTACAACATCTTTCTTTCTTTCTTACGTACTTACTTACTTTCTTCCTTTCGTAAAGTAAATCCCTACTTCTCGTTTCGTTTCTTCTGCGAACATCTCATGCATAAATATTATTTGTAAGTTTGGACACAAAAAAAAAAAACCGAATAATCGATCAGTTTCCAAAATACGACAGACGATTCGTATACACGTTTACGTTGATATATGTGTTTGTGTAGATTTTACAGATGACACATCCACTCGATTCTACTTACGCGTAGAAATCTGATACTTTAACCGGGCGAAAAAGCTCACATGGGTACTGGGAGTAGAACACACGTATATACAGACACACAGGCCACATATACATATAACGGGACATAAACATACTCGCATACATACGCACATACGTGTATATATTCTACGTAGAACGTTTGCAAACGGAAGAATCTCGGTGAGCGAGATCGCAACAAGTTGCATTTAAAATCCGTAGGAACTGGCTCTCGACATCGTACTTTCAACTTTCTATGTCTCTTTTTCTTTCTTCGAAACGTATCTTCTTTTTTTTACTCTTTCTCTTTCCTTCTCTCTCTGTCTCTCTTTGAAAAAAAAAGAAAAAAGCTTTTGCGAATCAAGCTTTCATATTCAACGTGATTTGAACCATTCAACGCGTATAAAATACATTATCTTTGGTTCACGGACGTTTATTTCGTCTAAATTATATTCAAATAATTCGATTTAATTAATTTTTTTGTCCTTTTTTGTTTACAATTTCTCTGAATAATAGTTTGATATTTTTAATAACGAGAGATACTCGATGAATCGTAAAATGTAATTGATTAATTAATATATGATAGGCGTTGAAAAAACATTAAAAAATATAATTATTTTTATAGAGTTTTATCTCTCCGATCTCGATTGTTTGATAAAGTAAACGTATACGAATCTTGAATAAATTAGCGAATCAATTAATTCGAAAAACAAAATGAAGGAAAAACAAATACAAACACGAAACTGTTCGAACGAATTAATATGAATAAATTAAATAATATCAATATATATATTCTATTGAATTAATATTGTTTTCTTTCATTTTCATAATATATTTTTATTTTCTTTGAAAGGAGAAAAAAAGAAAAATAGAGAGAAAGAGTAATGATCACTGTTAGGAAAGTAACAAGTTTCTATATTCTTGGATTAAAACGATATAACGGAGAAGCTTAAGCAAAGTCGAGTCAGGAAAGTGTCAGGTGATACTTAAGAAGACTCTTAGGGTGTACTGTTGCGTGAAAAATACACGAACCCGAGGGGTTGCATTTAAAAAGTAAGGAAGGAAGGAAGGAAGGAAGGAAGGAAGGAAGGAACGAAGACGAAAACGAAGATGAAGACTAAAAGATACTTTCTTTACGATCGTATAACTGATAACGACGCGAGGGGATTAAACCATGACTTTATTTTCTTTTCATAAGGTAAAGAAAAAAAGAAAAAAAAAGAAGGACAAATAAATGATAAAGAAAAAGAAACACTATCGCGTTTGAGATATTTCAATGTATCATCATCATCATCATTATCATTTAATCTCAATTTATTATAATTATGTATCCTTCAATCTCTCGTAATGTTTCTTTTTTTTTTTCTTTTCATTTTCGTATCATCAAACTAAATTGACACGAAATTTCGAAATATATATTATATATATATGTATATATTTGATCGCGAGTTAGAGTTAGTTTGTAGATGGAAAAGTTGAAACAATTTTAAAGTTTAGACGAGTCATCATCTTCAAGGTTAAAGACACACATTACTCTAAGGTCTACCTAACTCGTCATGTATATTCGAGACATTAATTATACCAAATCAAGATAGAATTTATCAAGAGACACGAGCTTACATCTTATAAGAGGGTGGAATACCGTATATAAACTTACGTGTACACGTATACACGTATTGGTTAGTCTAGAACACGAGGAAAACGTTTGTCGAGGTTAAATTGCGTGCAACGAAGCGGGAGTCGTAACGCGCGCCAGGATTCTTGCTTAAGGGTTGCCCTTATAAAGGGTGCAAAAGAAGAAGAAGAAGAAGGGGTAGACCGTTCGTTTCTTTTTTCCCACCCTTCTCTCTTACTTTCCTTTTTCTTTCTTTCTTCTTTTTCTTTTTTCATTTTCTTTTTTTGTTTCTTTTCTTCTTCTTCTTTCTCTCTCTCTCTCTCTCTCTCTCTATCTCTTTTTTTTTTTACACCGAGCGGCAAAGTAAAGCTGCGGTTAAGACTTAGGAATCAACGAGATGGAAAAAAACGGTGAACTTTTGCGCAAAGATAAAAGGGTAAAAGAGAGAGAGAGAGAGAAAAAAGGATGGGAGAAGAAAAAAGAAAGAAGTAAAAAAATCTTATTACTTGTTGCATTTTTACTAGAAGATAAAATATAAACTTAAACGAATCAAAGTTTACTTTCAATTTATCTTTAATTTCATTATCACTATCTCCACAATTTTTCTCAAATTGTTTCGTTCTTGCAATAACATTTATCGTACTTTAACTATATATAAACTTCGTAAAGTAATAAATATTATTCTATTTAAATTGTGTTCTATGATTTGTCAATAAATTAATTGTCCGATAGAATAAATGATGGAGCAAAAATAAAGAATGTTACGAGCAATTAAAAATCGTATGTGCATGCCAAACAAATCTGTTTTTTTTTTTTTGTTTTTGTTTTTATTCATCTCCGTTTCTCTCTTTCAATTATCTATTCGTTCATCTTTCCCTATTCAGCTATCTATTATCTATCTATCTATCTATCTATCTATCTAGCTTTCTATCTATTTGGTGCGTGACCCCGGTCGGATAGGCGCGTCGACGGCTGGTCAGCTTGTCGCGATCGGAAATATAATCAAGGTTGGGTGGCAAGGGACGATAAGAGAGGAGGGTGGAAAATAATTGAAACACGAGCGTTCATTAGCAAACGCGCCGGCCCGAACGAATCGCGTATAGTCGTTCACCGAAAGAGTAGAGAAACGAGAACCCCAGCGTTCACTATGTTCTATTATATCATATAAATAAAATAAAATCAAATATTTGATCGTTATTCTCCGAGACACGTTTTTCCGTTCCGTTCTTAGGAAGAAGAACAAGAACAAGAAGAGGAACAAGAGGAAGAGGAAAAAAAAGAAAAAAGAAGGGACAGGAAGAAAGGTGAAGAAGGAGGAGGAGGAGGAGGAGGAGGTGAAGGTGGTCGAAAGCTTCGGTGACAACGGAGGAGTATCGGGGGAGGTGGGAGGCAAAAAAATAAAAAGAATTGAGGATTCGAATCGGTGTTGGTAGCGGTTGACACGAAAGCCAGAGAGAGAAAGAGAGAGAGAGAGAGAGAGAGAGAGGGAGGGCAACCACCCCCCGCCCCCCGAGCAATGGATCTTGCGCTTCTACTCTTGGTGGTGCTGCTCAGGCAAGAGGGTGAGTATGCCTTCGAGCTTTTCCGCCCTTTGTAAATTTGCTTTCGACAAACACTTCTACGATCGTTTCACTCGACTCGAGCGTTTCATCATTCTTGACCATGAAAAATTGGTTAACCGGAGAACAACCTATGTTTCCTTTCTTTTTTAGTTTCCTTTCTTTCTATCTTTTACAATTATTATTCTACAGAAAAGAGAGAGAAAAAGAGAGGGTGAGGAATAATCATCGAATAATGGATAATTGATTTTTCATTTATTTTTATTTTAATTATTCTTTTTACCCACAAGGTCAAAATGATATTATAGATGTAATTCTAGTATTAAGGTTGTTTTAATTTTTCTGTTTGCGTAATAAAATTCTCGCTGCGTAAGCGAGAAATGTATCGTCTATATATACGTGTAATTTAAAACGGAAACGACAAAAAATGGTGTATTTTCTAATTACGTATTTGCGTTACGTGAGTCGTGCGCGCGCGCGCGCGCACTAATCGCGATTTTACGAGAGAAACGTGTAAAAGAGTTAGATGGAAGAGACGACGACGACGACGACGACGACGAGGTAAAAGACGACGAAAATGGTAAAAGAAAAGAGAAAGAGAGAGTGAATAGTGAATAGAAATGGTAAGAGCAAGATAGCTGAAACTGGAATTGTTGGAATTTATTACGTTACGGTACGTGGTACAAGGAAAGAGAATAAGAAAGGGAATGCAAGAACAAAAGAGAAAGAGAAAGAGAAAGAGAGTGTAAGAATCCAGGATTAGCTAATTAACTTTTATCAAGCTGTCTCAAAGATTTTGTTCTTTCCTTTGCATTCCGTTTTTTTTCTTTTTGCGTGTGTGTTTTTCGTCGTCTAATAACAAACGCTTGTACTACGTAGATTTTAATAATTCGATTAAGTATTCTTTTTTCCTCATTCCCCCATCCCCCATCCCCCGCCCATCCGGTTTCTTTTCTACTATATCTCCGAGAGATTTAATATTATAAAATAGTCTAAAGAATAATACTTTTCAAGGAGTGACAAATGTTTCGGAGAATCCGCCAAGGGGATAATAATAAAAAGAAAAAAAAAAAAGAAAGAAAAAAGAAAACTTCTCACGATCTCGCCATGGTTATTCTTTGATATCCACTCATGGAAATATAACTTCATGAGATGGATAAAACGTACGTAGGAGAGTAAATTCGGGGGACGCCTCTCTCTCTCTTGGTAAGAAAAAGAAAAAGAAAAAATAGAAGAATGAAATAAAATGGAAAAGAAACGGAGAGGAAGTAGAAGAAGAAGGAAAAAGGACAAAGAAAGACAAAAAAATAAAACAAGAATGAGAGAGAGAGAGAGAGAGAGAGAGAAAGAAAGAAAATACCATACCCGTAAGAGAGAGAAAGAGAGCAAGAAAGAGATAGAGAGTTTCTTCGTTTCGCGAGCACACGCGAGCACACGCGTCTATGTGTAGCTACAGGTATCCGGACGTTTTTACATTTGGCTTGGCTCTAAAGGAAAAATGGTAGGGGATGGATGCTAGGGACACACCGGCGTAGTAGTAAAACTCGGGAAATGAAAAGCGGTCGGGCCAAGAAGAGTAAAGTGCATTGCGCCATACATATCAATATGGAGACTGCGAATACGCGAGTGAGCTCGATATGAAATTTTAAAGCCGGTCTTCTTCTCGATGGCGAGAGGCGGATTGTAGAAAGAGGATGAGTTAGCATAAATAAATAAAAGATGCGAGTCGAACTAGGGACTTGAGAAAGTCAAAGAACAGTTGGACGGTGAGGATAGCGTGGCTTATGAGGCAGGGGAAGGGGTGGGGCGAGACGAGGGGTGGTGGGTAAAAGAATCCCAGTCGATGGTTGCTTAATTGCTCGAGGAATTATTGAATGAGTCAAAGAGATAGGAAAAAGAGAAACGGAGATGGAGATAGTATAGTAGCCAGTCACATATGTACCTATACATGTTGAATGGTATTTGTAAATCAAACCAACGAAAGAGAGAGAGAGAGAGAGAAAGAGGGAGGAAACTCTCCATATTCCACAGAATTGGTCAGATGCTTTTACAGTTTACCGATGCAGGACAATATAATGGAGGGATGCTTCAATCGCTTTTATAACGATGTAATATTAACAGCAAATATTTCGCTAACATGCTATTTGCGGGCAGTTGTACTAATGAACTCTCCTCTCCCTCTTCCTTTCCGTCTGTCTCTGTCTACCCTCTATTCGACCACGATAATTTACATACGGTTTTGATTTTCAATATCTGTGTTATTTCGATGTAACTCCGGTAGGTAGCAAGGTGGGCATAGGTACCTACCTACCTACCTACCTACCTACCTACCTACGCGTAATCATTAAACAGAGTTGAACAAGTTGCTATGGTTATCCGGCTCATCGAAAATTTATTATCCTTTGACCGAACTATTGGAAACAATTACGCACTCATAACTCTAATTTTCAGAATTAAACTGCCTGTCTTTGTCTCGTTATCTCTGTCACCGTATTATGTCAAAAGGAGGTAGATACTGAGTACACGTCAGACTATCAAAATCACACCTTACCTAAGAGGGATGGATAATTTATCGATCCATTTACCGAGGGTAAAAAGAATGTTGAAAAATGATACGCGCTAAGGAGCATGAGAAAATGGAAATGATTGACGTGGGTAAAGGAAGATAAATTAAAATGAAACGAGAGAAAGAAATAAAGAGAGAGAGAGAGAGAGAAAAAACGATAAACATATATTTATACATGCGATTTTTACTGCACTAAGAGTATTTACAAATGTTGCATAATATTCAAAATTAACTCTCTCTCTCTCTCTCCCTTTATTTTTCTTTGGAATACTAAATTGTGGAAAGCAAATAAAAACTTATATTATTCTTCGGTCGAGTGAAAAAGTAACGTTCACGAAACGTGTTGGATTTAAAATCGAAAAACACACTCTCTCTTTCTCTCTCTCTCTCTCTCTCTCTCGAGTAGCCGTGATATTTACGAGCGTTAGCGAGAAACAGGAAAAAGAAGAGAGAATGGAAGATAGAAGAGAAGGAAAGGGTGAAGAAGGATGAGAAGAGAGTGAAGGGTTGTGGTGGAGGAAGAGGAGGTAGTAGTAGTGGCTATATCGTTTCCTCGAGTCACCTCTCCTACCCCACCCCACCCCCGTTCGAGGGGTAACCCACCTGATGAAGATAAAACGGGATAATTATAGAGCCTATCGGGGATCGTGGTGTGGCTAAATTTCGTTGAGACACGCGAGATCGTTCGAAGGTGGGCGCGGCAATGAAGGGAAACGCGCTTTGTTAAAGAAAAAACTAAAGAGTAAACGGACGGAACCAGTAGTAGTGGATACTGGAAAGGGTAGAAACCGAGAGCTTTTGCAAATGACCGGTGAAAAAAGAGAAAACTATGAAGGATATCGTTAATTTTTCATACAGTCCAGAAGCATCTGCCTTCGGCTAAACTGACTAATTATTTTTCCATTTTTTTCCCCCTCTCCCTTCAACACACACACACACACCAGACACACACCAACTCAAACTCGACTTCATCCATTTTCTCATTCTCTTTCTCTCGCTTGAATTATTATTATTTTTTTTTTTCTCTCTCTTTTGTCATTTTTCCTATCTATCAATCGTGGTCAGAAAAATTATTTTTTATTTCGTTCAATTATAAATCTACGAAAAAAGTGAAAATATATTATATAACGCGCGCTAAATTATTGATTTCTATTTCTATATTTGTTTTTCCATCTATTTTGAAATACTTTAAACGTACATGGATCGTTTATTTTGAGAGTGGTGTAAGTCAATTTTCTATTGTTTTGAGAAAATTAAAAGTTTGCATATTGGTTAATTGAAAAATATTCTATAATTATATCAAATTTGTGACAATGTTTCTATTAATTTATCGATATGTAATTATATTATAATTTCGGAAAATATTATTACTGTTACAGTATATATTCCTTGTTCGTTTCGTTGCATAAATTAGATAAGAAAAAAAGAAAAAAGAAAAACAAAGAATAAATGTAAGTAATCTCGATACAAAGATTCGTTCGTAGATCGATCTTCTTAGGGGGAAGAAAAAAATTCTTGCGACGTGATCTATAAGAGGTAGCCCACAGATATCGTAGTTTTTCACTTAAACTGTCAAAGTAAAATTCTTGAGAATATTGGAGGCGTCGTGAAATTCTAAATCCTGAGAGTGCGTCCGTTTCGGATTCCACGCGATTGTCGGACGGAACAGGAAGGAACGATAAATTCCGGGAATACGTTTGCGAAACTTTTCTACGGGATAATACTGGGAAGTGTTGGTGATTTACGATTATGCGATAAGGTAGCGACTCTCGTCGCTCGTATTGCGACGATGTGTTCAACGATGGGATATAGCTGATAACGTTTCACAGGGATTTTCGATACGGGCAGTGTCCTGTGATGAGATACCATGTTTACCTAGTTTAAAGGGAATATATCTTTATTCTTATCCCCCAAAGGGCTCGTCATATTTTTCAATTTTCGCATTATCTCTTCAAATACATATGAGATTATTATTATTATAAATATCATATACTTGTCTATATTTATTTATTATTTACAGTATAAATTTATCAATATTTTAAATGAATGATCAATATTCTTTATAGGGGTAAAGTTGCATCAGTATTATTTATCGATACAGAGCGTGTATATATATATATATATATATATATATGCTGATATTTTATTACAAACATTGGTCATTTATTTAAAATACTGACAGTTTTTTAATTAATTTCTAATTAAATATCACAGTATACGCAATAGCTACCATTTATATTGTATACTATCATAAATATACAATTATAAATTCTGATCGAATGAATTAATTGTCTATCATAAATTGTTGAACTATCGACAATAGCTTTTTTCGAAGTTATTTTGAAAGTTTTTATCGAAATCCTAGATTTATTCAGTTAGTCGAAAAAAAACCAGGAAAAAGAAAAAGAAAAAGAAGAAGAATAAGAAGAAGTTGTAA